TCTAATGTAGATTACCTTCCTAAACTAAAAACTTTAATCCTAACCCACTTTGTATGCATGTAGTAGTAATTTCCTCGCATTGTTTGTTTTATTTTCTTCGCGCCTACTAACACCGAACACGAAAAAGGAAGTGCTCGGTTTCGTAAGGGCCTCTTGTATGTACTGTCTTGTATGCATGTCTACACGAATGGGAAATCAGTGGAGACGGCACAAAATTCCTTGGTACCCACCATTGAGAGAGCCCTACACAATACGGAATATACACTCAGAGTGTTCGTGGACACATCCGGGGCATTATACAACATTAGCACGGACGCAATAATGGTGAGAGGAGCGCCCAGAGGCACGCCGCAAGGTGGGGTTCTTTCGCCCCTCCTATGGAATCTGGTGGTAGACGACCTAATCAAGAGATTCGAAAGGAAAGCACCAAAGATAACAGCTTATGCGGATGATTTAAGCATAATTATCACGGGAATCTGTCCATCGACAGATCATGGAAACAACGCTCAGAAAGATATGTGAGTGGGCGAAGAAGGTAGGACTCAATATCAATGCGGATAAGATAAGGTCTACATATGGGTGGTGCGTCCGACTCTGGTGTATGGAGTCTTAGTGTGGCGGCAAGCCATGGAGAAGAAAACGTATAATAAGTTTATGGAGAGAACGCAGCGGCAGGCACTGCTCTGCATATCAGGAGCGCTGAGGTCAACCCCTACCAAAGCAGGCTCTCAGGTACTCTGACATCGAAAATCCGCTGTAACACGTGTTACAGTGGCCAAACTCCATATAAAACAAGAAAGGAAGCTAACTTCGGTACGCCGAAGTTTGTATACCCTTGCAGATATTATTTCATTACATTTTACCTATATTATTATGTTTACAGTTTGACAGTTACAGTTTTGCATTCCCAGCTTTATGTTTTCTCTACATCTATCGATCGCTTATATGCGAGCTATATGATATAGTTGTCCGATTTTTATGAAATTTATACCAAAATTCTAGAATAATAAAAAAAGCTTATATTTCAAAGTAGATAAAAATACGTTGAAAAACAACAAAGCAATAATTTTTTTCCTAATAATTTCCCGATCGTTCCTATGGCAGCTATATCATATAGTCGTCCGATTTTCATAAAATTTTTACCAAAATTCAGGAATAATATAAAATGACCATATCTAAAAAATGACCATATCAAAAATGTTGAAAAATAGCCAAGTTATAATTTTTTTCTACAAATTTATCGAACATTTGTATGGCAGCTATATGATATAGTCGTCCGATCCGGCCCGTTCCGACATATATAGCAGTGAGAGTATATAGAAGACTATATGCAAAGTTTCATTTAGATAGCTTTAAAACTGAGGGACTAGTTTGCGTAGAAACGGACAGACGGACGGACAGACGGACATGGCTAGATCGACTCGGCTGTTGATGCTGATCAAGAATATATATACTTTATAGGGTCGGAAACGTCTCCTTCACTGCGTTGCAAATTTCTGACTGAAATTATAATACCCTGCAAGGGTATAAAAACGGTGTGAAAAAGGAAGAAGAAGAAATTTGTGCCTCGTCGATTTTGCCGGTACTCTGACGACGAAAAGGAAGCCTGCGAAAATTGAATGGCATTGCCAGATCAAGAGAAACAGCTGTACATTTTCATGGTGTTTCATGGCTTTTTATTAATTTTTTTGGTCACACTGGTTACCGAGCCAAATAAAGAGCGATTCCGCTATAACACGTGTTACAGCGGATTTTCGACGTCAGAGTACTAGGGTTTATGATAATCGGACGACTATATCTTATAGCTGCCAAAGGAACGATCGGGTAATTAATAGAAATAAATTATAACTTAGTTGTTTTTGAGTAATTTCATCTACTTTGAGATATGAGCTTTTTTACTATATAAGAAATTTAGATATACATTGTTTGAAAATCTATCTAATACTGTCTTCCCACACAGCGCATTTGTGAGGAACGGTGGGGATTTTTAAAAAAAGTGAAACTCGTGTTTCCACAGAGCTGCGTTAAAGCGGATTCGCATCCGAACAGCTGATCAATCAGCTGTGGCTCATGAAAACGTAAACAAAGACTGTCGAATTGGCAGTTGCAAATTTGAAATGGAGCATTTACCAACTATTTTGGCTGTTGTACAACCGCAAAAGCGCAGATTGCGTCAGAATTTATCCGCACTAAATTTAAATGAATTAAATGACAATGATTTTTAGCTTTTCTAATGATTTTTCTCTAACAAAGAGCAAATTCCCCGAAGAGTGTCTATAGGTGGTATAGGCATCCAAAATCTTTAAAATAAGGTAGAGGTAGGCGGTTTATATTAAATAGTAACAATTGGGGACATATTGGGGCAAGAATATACAGAAAAAACGCCAACAACTATTTTGGGCATGCTTGTAGCTTTGGCGCCACATTTTAAATTCCAAATCTCATTTGTTTCTCGCCAAGTGTGTATACACTTTCGTAGTGATGGTCAAATTTTCAGAGTTGCATCGAAGAACTATGGCCTAACTATCGCCAAACAAACCGTGGTTAGATTTTAATGCTGAACTAACGCCGGCCCATTTGGGAAAATTCGGAACGGCAAAACCTTATGGAGCATTTGTTCAACGGATGCTAAATGCGCTTTAATGTTGTGTGGGAAGACCCTATTAGATGCGTTCTAACCGCGGTCCATTTGAGAAAATTCGGAACTGCAAAACCTTACGGGCGGTTAGTTCAACGGACGGTGAATGCGCTTTGACGGTGTGTGGGAAGACCCTATAAAGCACTATAATAATGCATTAGCTACTTCATTGCCGAGAAAAGCGATAGATCTACATAAAAAATACTAGATACTAGATTTGGACCGATAACAACATACGGTTTTAATGAAGAAAATTGTAATTAAAAAGTGTATTAGCCAGGTCATTAGAGGGCGAAACTCAAAGTGGCCTTGGAATGAGAAATTTATTTTTATTTAACTTGGCTGGTTTCAGAACTGAAATAAATATTAGAAGATTAGCAAAAATAATATGTTTTCGCTGTAAAATTAATTTAAATAATTTGTTTTGGTAATAATAAAAAAAATAGTAGGCATTATAGGTTAAAAACATAAATTTAAGGTTTCAGCATTCATTTATTCGTGAATACTTAGACGAGAAATTCAGAAATTCATAGTAATACGTAACAAATGGCGGCCGCAATCTCAGAAAGATCGAAGTGCCTAGTATTTGGTAGTGTTCGCATACTCAAAATAAATGGAGCAGATAATATCAGTACCATTTGGATAATATGAACATTTGTGTGTGTAGTTTTTACATTAAACATGAAATTTAAATTTAGAATGATCAAGTCAAAACCATTACTGAGCGCTCTACAAGTGAATCTCGCTTAGCGGATTTCACTCATTTTATAATAAATGGTATTTGGGCAAAATATGACCAAGATTTCACTTTTTGGTACTTAAAAAAAAATGGTTGTTTAAATGTTTGAATTGGGCAAAAAAATATTATTTTTGAAAATAAATTCAAAACTATTCAATTATTATCATACAACTAATTTTTGGCTGCTTCCACTGGTCACACGATCCAATTGAAAAGACTAAGCTTTGTCATTTGATGCTCGCTGACCAATGAAAGTTTGAAAGATTTCCAATCGCAAACTTTAAAATTCTCTATCTTCAAAGCAACTATTTTTCGCTTTGTTTTATGGGTGGCAAAATCTCACATTGTACAATGGTTTACAAATGTTTAAATGTTAGTCCCACGTATTACGTTTTCCAACATTTATACAGAATTCATGTTATTAATTGTTTATATTATATATTAACAAATAGTGCATTTACCTCCAAAACTGTTTACAAACTCATTCACTATTCGTAACACACTAAAGAAATAAAAAAGTATGGATAGTATGCCGGCATCCTTACACTAGCAAAGGTATCTCTAAGATTTTAGAAACTAACATACAATTATATATTTTAAATTAAACAAAAAATGCATTCTCACACCGAACCTTATCTTGTGCAAATATTTTAAAAACCGAAAATCAATCGATTTTTTAGTACATTTTTTTTATAATTCTTTTCTAATTACTAACCCATTGCTGAATCACTTTAAAAGTAAAAAAAAAATCCTGCACGCATCAGTACGGTCTTTTATATAGTCCTAACATTTTTATATTTGTCTGGTTGCGTTCGAGATGAACAGATGAGATGATCGGTTCCCAAATTAGATGTATAGGTTCGGCACGGAATGTACAACAAGTGCAGTGTGGGTTCAGTGTTGCATGATTACACATGATGAAGAAGAATGAACTCATCCAAATTTAAGTAAAATAAACAGGAAGGATCGACTAAAATCGAATGTTTCTTGGAAGGCATGAGCAAGTTGTCCGAAGCGATCTTCGTTTTACAAAAACAATGCCACTAAATGTCCGCGTCAGAGGGTCATCGAAAATTCTTAAACACCGCGATCTTGAGTTTGCAACAACTAATAACATGGTTTTGGCGACGCATTCCTGCAAAAGGTGTTTTTTTTTTTTTTTAGATTTGTAGTACTTTTTCTTTATATTCCAATGCCAAAAAAAGGAACCCCTCTGGCGACCGTCCTGCAGGACGTAAAAATCGACTGAAACAAAAAATTCAAAGATGTTCTTGGTAAGTATGAATGTGGTTATGAAATAGACTAGAATTATAAAAATTAAAAAAAAATAAAATAAAAAAAAATGGCGGCCATTCAAAATTATTTTTTCGTGAAAATTTTTTTCACTTTTTTGTTGATTAAAAATCGAATGTATAACTTATCAATGTAATTCTAGTCTATTCCATGGACACCTTCATTACGAGTATTTAAAAAAAAACATTAGGATTCGTTAAAAATTGACTGATATAGGACGGTCGCCAGCTCGAAAAATGTAGTTTTCAAGAAAACGCCTTTAAAGTTTTATGTTTGCTCATAACTTTTAAACTATTACGTATTTCGATTTGGCGTTTTAGTATTGTCGACGGCCAAACATTGTAATCGATAGGTAGAATAAGTGTTGGAAGGAAATTCTAGTATTTTGTAAGTTATCCGATGTTGTATGGATTTCTTGGCCCATGAAGTAGGGGCCTACTAATATCGGCACTGTGAATGCCGCCTAAATTGTGCCTTTTCATTGTCTTGTGAATTGTAGGAGGGCACACTGCGGTAAGCTTAAGTTAGTTTAAAAATTTATTAGGCTAATTTAGTGTATTCACAGAATAAAACCGCACCCTTGAAGTTATCCCTCTCTTCGGACCTACTTGTGTGGGGGAGCCGTTTAAGGCAACTCCGCATGAAGCAAGACAACTCCTTTTATTCGCAGTCCTAGGGAGACTGCAAGGGCAACTTGCGCTGGATGGTCTGATGCCCAGCTAGAGAGTTGCCAGGAGCGCATTCCCTTCCCAGTAGCAGAGTCGCAGTCAGCGATATAGTGGAGCGCAGCCAGCGCCGAACGCTGGGTACGGACGGTGCCGCAGGAGCGCCAGGCGCACATTCCCGTACCAGTAGAGGAGTCGCAGTCAGCGACATTGAGGAGCGCAGCCAGCGCCGAACACTGGGTACGGACGGAGACGCAGTCAGCGTCAATTGAGGTATCCGCAGCAAGCGGACAGAAGGCGCAAGGAGCGTCAAGCGTCGGTGTGACGCAGGCAGCGGCACAAGGGTCGCGATTTTGAAGCGCGCTGAGGCAGCGCCATATTGAACCTGGGATGCAGCATTCCCCCAGGAGGAGTTCCCGGCTGAACGGAGGGGAAGCCACCCCTACAACAACGCGAGCGGATCAGCAGCCAGCGAGTAGTGGAGCGGGAAACCGGCCGCAAGTGAACATAACCACGGCGGCGGCCATTTCTCGCCCAGCCACTACGGTGACTACAGTAGCGTCCCAACCGAGGAGTACTGCTGTCACAGCTGCGAGTTCAGTGCCGGAGGAAGGCCCGCCACTCACGTCGTACCTTATGGAGAGGATTACGGCGTTGGAGAATGAGCTGAGGCAGGTTAAAGTCCTGAACAGTGAGAGCACCGCCAATCGCGCGCCAATCGCAGTTGGCCCAAGCGCAAATGGCGCCAACAGTGGAGCGTCGGGGCGGCCGCCATCTTGGGGCGGGCCGCCAGTAGCCACATCTAACGGTGAGGCCCAAACAAACGGGGTCGGGCCTGTCCCACATAGCTGTGTCGGTGCGAGCAGTACGGCCTGCACGCAGCCGCCATATTGGAGTGGACCGCCATTGCTAACGACTAGCAATCATCTTGTGGAGCCACTGTGTGCTACGAGTGTTGCGCAGACGGCGCATGGATTCGTGCTACCGGGCGGGAGCATCCACAACATGGCAACAGCATCGCCATTTGTTGGATCCTACGCCTCGATGAAGCCGAATGGAGCCCAAGGAGCGAATGGGCCAAGAAGGTTTCCGGACCTGCCTGTATTTGGAGGGCAGCCCGAGGAGTGGCCTATATTTAACTGTGCGTTTGTGGAGACGACCCAAGCATACAACTGCACAGACCTGGAGAACAACCAGAGGCTGTTGAAGGCGCTGAAGGATGAAGCACGCGAGACAGTGAAGTCGCTACTGATTCACCCTGGGAACGTCAGCGCCGTGATGGAGCAGCTGCGCTTTAGGTTTGGCCGACCGGAGCAGCTTATACGCAGCCAGCTGAACAGCGTGCGAGAGGTGCCGCCGATTTCGGAGCAGCACCTGGCGAGGATCGTTCCCTTCGCAACCCGAGTGAGTAACCTCACGGCCTTCTTGCAGTCAGCGAAGGCGGAGCAGCACCTGGGGAACCCCACCCTCATGGAGGAGCTAGTGGCAAAGCTTCCTACGAGCAAGCGAGTGGATTGGGCCAGGCACGCTGCATCGATCGAGCCCTTTCACACTGTAGCGCACTTCAGCACGTGGCTACAGGAGTACGCAAACATCGTGTGTACGATTTTGGACGTCGAGGGAAAGGAGCCGAGGCGTCGAGTCCTGCACGCGAGCGTCGACCAGAACGGATGCGATCAGCGGGATGATCGGCATGGAGGTTGTCCCATTTGTGGAGGGCAACACGCTACGACGAGCTGTAGAGAGTTCATCGGAGCTTCGCCATCGAGAAGGTGGAGCATGGTGAAGAGGCATCGGCTCTGCTTCACATGCTTACGGATTGGTCATACAGCTAGAACCTGCAATGGGCACGGCGAGTGCCGAATCAACGGATGCCGCCAGATGCATCACCGTCTGCTACATGGAGCGGACGAGGGGCGAAGATGGCCGGAGCAGCAAAGTGGCTTCAGGCGCCACGACGGTGGGAACCAGCAGTCAGCAGTTTCCAGACGCAGCCCGAAGAAGGTCTTCGCCACGAGGTGGTTACAGGGACCACGAGAGGAGCCAGCAGCCGGCGGTTCTCAGAAATAGCCTGGAGAGAAGAGCCCCGCAGCCAGCGGAGGCACCTGTGCAAAGGAACTTAAGCTGCATTGACGCCGAGGGAGGCTACTATAGTTCCGTATACTGCCAGTAACGCTGTACGGAGCTGGTCGCCAGGTAGATACCTACGCGCTTCTGGATAAAGGATCCTCCGTCACGATGATCGATGACGAGTTGCGGAGGGATCTGGGAGTGCGAGGCGAACATCGACAGCTTAACATTCAATGGTTTGGAGGAAGGGCCAGTAGAGAGCCCACCAACGTGGTGAGTCTAGAGATAAGTAGAGCTGGGAAGCCCACTCGCCACGCGTTGAGGAACGTGTACGCCGTTTCGAGTTTGAGTCTGCCGATGCAGATGTTATGTCGGCGAGATGTCCAGGGCGTGCATAAGGATGCGCGTCTGCCGATGAAGCCCTACAGCAACGTGGTGCCGAAGTTGCTCATCGGACTGGACCATGGACATTTGGGATTGCCACTTAGGACGAGGCGGTTTGCCAGAGAGGGACCGTATGCGGCCGCAACCGAGCTTGGATGGGTTGTGTTTGGGCCGGTAAGTGGACAATCGACTACGCCGTCACCGAGGTCCTGCCTTCTAGCCGTGTCAATGGAAGATGCGATGGAAAAGATGGTAGAGGACTACTTCGAGATGGAAAGCTTTGGTGTGAAGCTCGCGCCACAGGTCGCAGCCAGCGATAACGCGCGGGCACAAAGGATCCTCGAAGACACCACGGTGAAAGTGGGGCGTCGCGACCAGACGGGACTACTCTGGAAGGACAACCACGCTGTGCTGCCACGGAGCTACGAGATGGCGCACAGACGGCTGATCAACGTAGAGAAGAAGTTGAAGCGCAACGGGCAGTTGGCGCTGGAATACGATCGTATCATCAAGGATTACGTGTCCAAAGGGTATGCGAGGAAGCTGCAGCCGGATGAGGTCGCCGTGAAGAGCGACAAGCTATGGTATTTGCCACATTTTGGTGTCGAAAACCCGAACAAGCCCGGTAAGGTCCGGCTTGTGTTTGATGCTGCAGCCAAGGTTGGAGGAACCTCTCTAAATTCGGCGCTGGACAAGGGGCCTCAGCACTATAAGCCCTTGCCAGCCGTGCTCTTCCATTTCAGGGAAGGAGCAGTCGGAGTCTGCGGTGACATCAAGGAGATGTTCCACCAAGTGCTGATCCGACCCGAGGATCGATGTTCCCAACGGTTCCTTTGGAGAGATGGCAACGACGATCGAGACCCGGATGTGTACGAGATGAACGTAATGACATTTGGAGCAGCCTGCTCGCCGAGCACTGCGCATTACGTGAAGACGCTGAATGCCCTGAAGTTTCGGGATTCAGATCCGAGGGCAGTCAAGGCCATCATCGACCACCATTATGTTGATGACTATGTGGACAGTTTCGCTACAGAGAGCGAGGCTATTGACGTATCTACCCGAGTGAAGGAGATACATGCGGAGGCTGGTTTCGAACTATGCCAGTTTTCATCCAGCTCACCCATCGTGAAAGCGGCGTTGGGACCACCTGGACGAGTCAAGAGCGGCGGATGGGGTGAGGCTGAGCAGAAGATCCTTGGAATGCGCTGGCAGGTAGCAACGGATGACTTCAGATTCAACGTGGAGTATCATCGAGTGCCAGAAAGCGTTCCAAGTGGAGATCGAGTCCCTACAAAGAGGGAGTATTTGAGCCTGCTGATGTCAACATTCGACCCATTGGGATTCCTGTGCTGCCTGATGATTACAGCGAAGCTGTTGCTGCGAGAGATATGGAGGCAGAAGATCCAGTGGGACGAACCACTACCGGAGGAGATAGGCAGAGCCTTTGCTGCCTGGCGCAGGCAGATGGACGCCGTGGGACAGTTCCGATGTCCTCGGCACTATTTTGGGCATGGAGCAGTTCGGACCATCGAGTTGCACGTGTTCGTGGATGCAAGTCAATCTGCATTCGCGGCGGTGGCCTATTGGAGGGTCATGTACGAGGATGGCAAGGTGCTGGCTAGTTTCGTGTGCGCAAAGACGAAGTGCGCGCCGATGAGAACGATGTCAATCCCACGGCTGGAGCTGCAGGCAGCGGTTCTTGGAACCAGATTGATGAACACTGTCAAGGAGGAGCACAGTGTGGACATCAGCGAGACGGTATTATGGACGGACTCAAAAACGGTGCTGAGATGGATCGGCAGCACCCACCGCCGGTATAAGCAATTTGTTGGCAACCGAGTGGCGGAGATTTTGGAGTCGTCGGAGGTTTCCCAGTGGAGATGGGTACCTACAGCTGACAACGCAGCGGATGATGCGACGCGGTCGCAGAACAAGGCGGACATTAGCCCGGAATCCCGGTGGCTAAGCGGTCCCGCATTTTTGAGGCAGCCAGCGAGCGGCTGGCCAGTGCCTGAGGAGGGAACTGAGCGTGTTCCGGATGCATCTGATGACGAGGAGATGCCGAGTGAGTTTGCATTGGTGGCCACGAATGAATTTGTCATTCCGTTCCAGAGATTCTCGAGCTTCAGCCGCCTGGTGAGGACCACAGCCTGGGTCTTGAGGTTTGCGCGTTGGTGCCGCAGACAGAGAAGCGAGCTCGAGGAATACGGACTCACTGCAAAGGAGTGTGAGGCCGCGGAGAACCTGCTGGTCAGGCAGGCCCAATTGGAATCGTTTCCCGACGAGATGAGGTCGGCGAAACGCGGAAAGGAAGTCGCCAGCTCGAGCGAGATTCGAGGTCTGGCGCCGTACATGGATGAACATGGAGTTCTGCGAGTTTATGGCAGAGTTGATGCCGCGCTGTGCATGCCGTACAGTGCGAGGAGGCCTGTGATACTGTCACACAGGCACAGTCTTACTGAGATGATTGTGAGACACTTCCACGCCCAGATGAAGCATCAAAACGTGGATGCGACGATTGCTCAGATCCGGACGAGATTCTGGGTCACGAAGATGAGGCGCGTGCTGAAGGAGGTGATCTCGTCGTGCAACGAGTGCAAGTTGCAGCGAACGCGGCCGATGCCGCCGATAATGGCACCCCTTCCAGAGGATCGATTGGGAGCGGGTGGATGGCCATTCAAATATACTGGATTGGACTACTTTGGACCACTGCTGGTGACTGTTGCCCGTCACCGAGAGAAGCGTTGGGTCGCCTTGTTCACGTGTTTGACGACAAGGGCGATTCATCTGGAGCTGGCGCATGACCTGTCGACGGATTCCTGCATAATTGCGATCAGGAACTTTGTCTGCCGTAGAGGACCGGTACATAGACTGCGGAGTGACAACGGCAAGAACTTCGTGGGAGCTGACAGGGAGGCCAGACGATTTGGAGACGTGTTCGAGACGGAGAGAATACAGAGTGAGTTATTTGAATGGGTCTTTAATTGCCCATCGAACCCGTCCGAGGGTGGAGTATGGGAGCGGATGGTGCAGTGCGTCAAGCGAGTGCTGCGCCATACATTGAAGGAAGTCGCGCCGAGGGATCACGTTTTGGAAAGTCTACTGATCGAGGCGGAGAATGTGGTCAATGCCGGTGGATGCGGACCAGGAGGCGCCGTTGACGCCAAACGACCTGCTCAAGGGAGCAGCTAACCTGCCGAATACGCCTGGTTTGGATGCGGAGCTGCCCAAGGAGGGTTCTACGCGAAAGCAGTGGAGGATTGCTCGCATGCTGCGAGACCGTTTCTGGAGGAGGTGGGTCCTGGAGTACCTGCCTACACTTGTGCGCCGCGAGAAGTGGTGCCGGAGAACGGAGCCCATCCGCCAGGGCGATATGGTCTTCGTCTGCGATCCTACCTTGCCCAGACGAGAGTGGCGCAAGGGCATCGTGGAGGAGGTCTACAGCGGAGCTGATGGAGTCGTCAGACGCGCCAGTGTGCGCGTGAGCGACAACGGACTATCTCGGACAATGTTGCGGCCTGTCTCGAAACTTGCAGTTTTGGATTTGAGTGAAGCGGTTCTTCACGGGGTCGGGGATGTCGACGGCCAAACATTGTAATCGATAGGTAGAATAAGTGTTGGAAGGAAATTCTAGTATTTTGTAAGTTATCCGATGTTGTATGGATTTCTTGGCCCATGAAGTAGGGGCCTACTAATATCGGCACTGTGAATGCCGCCTAAATTGTGCCTTTTCATTGTCTTGTGAATTGTAGGAGGGCACACTGCGGTAAGCTTAAGTTTAAAATGTATTAGTTTAAAAATGTATTAGGCTAATTTAGTGTATTCACAGAATAAAACCGCACCCTTGAAGTTATCCCTCTCTTCGGACCTACTTGTGTGGGGGAGCCGTTTAAGGCAACTCCGCATAAAGCAAGACAAGTATGATATTCTAGACACTTATAACTATCAAAAAATGCAAAAAAAAAATCAATTTTTTTTTAACTAACCAGAATGGACCCTAAATTAGATAATGGGTGTGAATAAGGTTCCTTTCAATATTAAATTAAAACAAGAAAGGAAGCTAACTTCGGCACGCCGAATTTTGTATACCCTTGCAGATTGCAATTGGATCATTAAGAAATGCGCCATTCTGGTTGCATAATTAAAAAAAAAAAATATATATATACATATATATAACAGTTGTATATTTATAGATCGCATAAATAAAATGCTGAAAAATACTTATTATTATGTTTACAGTTTGACAGTTACAGTTTTACATTCCCAGCTTTACATTTTCTCTTCATTTAACGATCGCTTCTATGGCAGCTATATGATATAGTTGTCCGACTTTCATAATATGTATACCACAATTTTGAAATAATAACAGCTCATATTTCAGAGTAGATGAAAATACGTTGAAAAACTACGAAGTTATAATTTTTTTCTATTATTTTCCGATCGTTCCTATGGCAGCTATAAGATATATTCGTCCGATTTTCATAAAATTAGTACCAAAATTCTGAAATGTTATAAAATTATGCAAAATTGTTGAAAAATAGCCAAGTTATAATTTTTTTCTAAAAATGATATAGTCGTCCGATTTGATAGCTTTAAAACTGAGGGACTAGTTTGCGTAGAAACAGACAGATGGACAGACGGACAGATTATAACCGTTTTACAATCACAGCTATAGAATTTTAATTTTAATGAATGAGATTGCGTGGCTCCAGTGCCGTCTTAAACCTAATGATTATATAATAGGGGGAGAATATCTATATACTTATTAGCTAATTCTTAAATTATAGCAAGATGTTGTGCGCCTGTAGAATAGAGGCGTCACACAACATAAAATTAAAAACGAAATAATACAAAATGGCCTTGTCTCAAAGTAGATAAAAATACATTGAAAAAAAAGCGAAGTCATAATATTTTCTTGAAAAAATGTTTCGATCGTTATGATATAGTTCGGATCTGGACTGTTTCAACACACATGTATACATATATACTATATACATCGCGAGGAGCTTCTTCAGTGAGAGGGTGCTTATCGTGAACAAGGACGTGGGCTCCAGAGTATACGAAGTCTCAGCCGAAGTCTCTCAGGGCTCCATGCTGTGACCGCTGCTCTGGAACACCATGTAAAACGGGGTTCTACGTACGACTCCCGATGCCCAGCGACACCACTATCGATGGCTTCGCCGACGATGTAGCAGTGGTGGTAGTTGCGAAGAAGCGCACGGCTGCAGAAAAGAAGGCAAATACTGCGATTGAATCGTGGCTCTCAAGCGCTGGTCTGGAGCTAGCGTCACATAAGACTGAGGCGGTCTTTATTACGATCCGGAAAAAGGTGGAAACGGCTGAGATGCAGGTTGGCGGAGCTGTGATCCAGTCACAGAGGGCAGTAAAATACCTGGGTGTTCCCCCCACACCAGGTTATCCTTTAAGGAGCACTCGCCCGGTTACTGCTAAACACCAGAGGACCCAAGCAGAACACCAGAGGGTGCTAACAAGCGTTGTCACCTTCCAAATGCTGTATGCGGTGCCAGTGTGGGCTGAGGCGGCAAAAAAAAGTCCACCTATAGACTTTGTGCCATTCGAGGGGTGAGCGCCTTCGGAAAGATTTCATACGACGCGGTGCTGCTAGCCGGCTTAGTCCCTCTGAAGGAGCTGGTCCGCGAGAAGGCCGATATTCGTACCGCGCATTGCGGTGGGCAAGAAACCGATAGAGCCGTGACCGCCGAGCTGAAAAGCGCGGCCAGGGTAAGGAACTACGGGATCTGGCAGGCCAGGTGGAACGATGGACGCATAGGCTGATCTCCAACATCCAGGACTGGATGGAGCGGAAGCATGGGCAGGTAGATTTTTACCTAACCAATGTTCTGAGCGGGCATGGCTGCTTCCGCAGCTACTTGAAGAGGCTCTGTGACGACACGGAGGACGGCTGCCCGGAGTGCGGATTCAGGATAATCGAAGAGGCGGGACACGCCATCTTCGAATGTCGCCGATTCAACGAGCGATGGGACGAGCTGGATGCGGTGGCGGGGTCAGCGATCAGGGTTGACACGCTGGTGCCGCTGATGCTGGCGGACCCAAGGAGATGGGCGGAGTTCTCAGTCAAGCTGATGAGATCCCTCAGATCGCTAGAGAGAGGGAGGAACGAGCGGACTGACTGAGCAGCCTTCCATTCTGCGAAACATTGCTTTGCGGTTACTGTGGTATGTGGTTACTGTTATTGTTAAGGGGGGACATCTGAGAAACTGGCAAAAAAAAGCCCATTTTCCAGAATTTTTTTTGGCCAAATGAAAAAGCCAATCGAAAAATTTTAAAGTAGGTTTGATAATGTTAGATGTGAACTACAAAATAAATTTTTTTGTTAATAAATCGAAAAATGGCGGCTGTGCAGCATGTCTTCGTAGGCCCTATTTTTTTGAAAGGGGTCCATGGCCGAAAACCTAACGTCCTTAGTTTTTGATCTAGAACAAAAAATCAATTTATTTTTAGTTTCTATATCTCAACCGCTATCGACGTACGTAGGATTTTTTCGATATTTTGATATTTTGCAAAATGGTGAGTGATTAAATAAAATTTTCAATTTTCATGAAAAAAAAACGTCACAAAATTGTTGATAAAAAAAAAGTAAGCAAAAAAAAAAAAAATCCTACGTACGTCGATAGCCATAGGTATTTTGGATATACTGTCAAAATTTCAGATCGATCGGTTAAGATTTGTTCGAGTTATGTTTTCGGCCAACTCAAAAAAAGTGGTTTTGAGAAAAACGCGTTTAAAGTTTTAAAATCGTATATGATTACATGTGAGGCATCGCCGCAGAATGAAAAATTTCGACACTTAGAAACTTTTGCCGGACTCTATCTTTTGATATGTTATTTTTAAGACCCTAAAGTATTCTTTAAGCAAAAAAAAATTTTTTCGATTTTTAAAAAAAGTTACTCAGATGTCCCCCCTTAAGTGTAAAATAATAATAATAATCAGTCAAAAGAGTGCAACGTTTTATTTAGATAGCTTTAAAACTGAGGGACAGGCGGCAATGGCAAGATCTACTAAGCTGTTGATGCTGATCAGGAATATATAGGGGCGGAAATGACTCCTTTAGTCCGCTCCAAGCTTCTGACTATAATTAGAATACCCTGCAATGGTATAAAAAGGTGCCCTAAAGCCTTATATGCCGACTTCTTCACCATTATCTATGCCATTGATCAAAAGCAATTGTTGCTCACTTACAATGCAGCTAATGTGCTGCAATACCTATCACAGTCACCTGACCTTAATCTGATCAAAACTCTGTGGGAGGAATTGAATTAACGCTTTAAAATACATATTTCATCAACAAAATAATAATAAATAAGTAAATTTAAATTTAAAATTTGTCACGTTTTTTACCTCTTTTTAATTCGCCATTGTACATACACTTGTCCGCACAAAATGGCTTCATTAAAAATTCCGATTTATTTCTTACTTTTTATGCCCTTGCAGGGTATTATAATTTTAGTCAAAAGTTTGCAACGCAGTGAAGGAGACCTTTATATATATATTCTTGATCGGCATCAACAGCCGAGTCGATCTCGCTATGTCCGTCTGTCCGGATGGGACGACTATACGAGGGTGGGCTGATAAAAAGTCGGCCTAACAAAGAAAAAAATTTTTTAAAAATTCATAAATATTTTATTCGATTAGTGTTTTCTATCAGCGGATTACTGTGAAAGTTTCATGCGGTTTTATCAACACTGGTAATTTTGGCGGGACTTTTAGCGCATTCACTTTTGCATTGTCGTCAACATGAACAAAATCGAATATCGTGCTGTCATAAGATTTCTGTTTTTAAAAGAGAAATCCAACGAAGATATTAAAAATGAGTTGGACAAAGTTTATAAGGATTCAGCTCCATCGTTTTCAACAATAAAATATTGGACTGCTGAATTTAAACGCGGGCGGACAAGCATTTTTGACGATGACCGCCCGGGTCGTCCCAGAGAGGTGACAACACCAGAAATTGTGGATAAAGTCCATGGAATGATACTGGATGATCGCCGAATCAAGCTGCGAGAGATTGCAAATGCTCTAAACATTTCTCGGGAACGCGTTGGACACATTTTACACGAATTTTTACACATGAGTCAGCTTTCGTCAAGGTGGGTGCCGCGATTGCTCACAATGGAAAATAAACGCAACCGCTTGCACATTGCGAAGGAGAGTTTGGCATTGCTTAACGCAAACAAAAACGAATTTTTTCGCCGTTTTGTGACTGTTGACGAAACCTGGATTCATCACCATACACCAGAGAGTAAGGAACAGTCAAAGCAATGGATTTCAACTGGAGAAACGGCACCGAAAAAGGCAAAGATCGGTTTGTCGGCCAACAAGGTGATGGCAACGGTTTTCTGGGATGCCCGAGGTGTAATTCATGTGGATTATCTGGAAAAAGGCAGAACAATTACGGGAGAATACTATTCCAATGTCTTGGGACGATTTGATTCGGAGCTGAAGAAAAAAAGGCCTCACATGGCGAAGAAAAAAGTTTTGTTTCACCAGGACAATGCTCCCGCTCACAAGAGCGTTGTCGCCATGTCGAAATTGTGTGAATTGCACTACGAAATTCTACCCCATCCACCCTATTCTCCAGATTTAGCACCGTGTGACTATTATTTATTTCCAAACTTAAAAAAATGGCTTGGGGGTAAGAAATTTCAGTCAAATGAACAGGTAATATGTGAAACAAACGCCTATTTTGAGGACCTGGACAAATCCTATTTTATGGAAGGTATTAAGAAACTGGAGGATCGGTGGTCCAAGTGCATACGTCTGAAAGGAGATTATGTTGAGAAATAAAAAAGAAAAAATTAAAAAAAAACGTATTTTCTTTGTAAGGCCGACTTTTTATCAGCCCACCCTCGTATATATCATAAAGCTGTCATACGAATTATTCAAAAGTTTTTAGAAAATAAAAACAATTTTTAGAAAATTGAACATTTTTTCATTTCATTTTTAAAATATGGCATATTTTTATTATTTAAGAATTTCGGTTTTAATTTTATGAAAATCGGACAACTATATTATATAGCTGCCATAGAAACGATCGGTTGATGTAGAGAAAATGTAAAGCTGGCGATTTAAAACAGTAACTGTAAAAAATAAGGATAGATAAAATGTAATGAATGTAAAGCAGTAGAATATGTATCCTCCATTGGCTTCAAAAAAATTTTAAAGGCGTCTCGACACTAAGTTTACATTTTAATAATTTTTAAGAATATATTTTTCAAAAGGTAAATACCCTCAGAAATATATATATTTTCTTTATTTCTGTGTTTTAAATGAGGCCAGACGATCTTGAACATATTTAAGTCTGGACCTTGGAGCGGCCAGTTCAAGACGGTACCGAAAACATCATTTAAACAATTGGGAACAGGCCGTTTTTTTTAATGGGGCATTATCCTGCTGCAGAATAAATTACTTAAAAATTGGCCTAACGGTCATGACCTCCAAATATTGTTCTTGGTTTATGAAAACGGTTATGGCAACGCATATCCACAGCCTGGCAGAGCTTCCTCCATGGCTCACTTTTTGACGAACGGGCCTGATTCTTTCCATTGGTACATATAAAATTATAAGAAATACTTTTTGTTTTTTTTTTTACGAGTTGTACATAAGAGATGTCATCTGTCCATTTGTCATGACTTCATTCAGAATTGACTTGTCCAGCTTTATAAGCTTGTTTGCCTTTTCTCTTAGAGCGCTCACATACTGTTTTAAGCACACCTTAACGATTATTTGCGGTGAGATTCCACCTAAGACAAACATTTTTCTTTGATTACGGTAGAGCGGTTCTGTCTTCATTGTTGTTTTGCGATAGGGTCTGTTTTTTAAAATTATTTTGTTTTCTCATCTTGTTAATCTGATAAACAGTTCGACGCAACACATTGAACTCATTCGCTGTTTTTTCTTCTTCAACTTTGTTACCGTTGCAAACCAGACAACCAAACTTATTTCAGCATTTTAACCATAATTTTAAATAAATTTTAAGAACTCTTTTTTTAATATTAAATGCTTAAATTTATAAATGTAAGAGTTGTTTGATTTGGGCGTTCCTATCAGCATAAGGTGAATGCAAGCAGTAAATATAAAATTTGGCATGCATACAGAGCTTCTTTGTTTTGCGCATAATTTTATCATCGTTATCTGAAGGATTTTATCATACATACATACATATGTACATAGCGCCCGGTGCATACATACATACATACATATGCATGTAAATATTATTATTTATTTATATTATAAGATTCAAAAAATTAAAATATGCAGGAATAAAAATGCATGGCGGATTTTAAATATTTACTCCTATTGATTAACTCCTATTGACTGTTACGTTTAGAATCTCTTGGTACATAATATGTATATAATAAAATACAACTGCACCTGTGGTAGATGTTTTTCGTTTTTGCGAAAGTACTGTATAATAATGGCAGTAATAATGTTTTTATGAGTGCACAATGTAATCTACATATATCGCTTATTCTGAAATTCACATGGGTGGGCATATAAATATACAAGACCATAAATAATAATTCGGTGTTTTAAAAAGATATACATTCCATCATTTAATGTAATCAAACACTTAGGATTCTTCGATATTTATATTTTTAAATATATCGATACTTTTTAAAATGTTCGCATACTTTTTTCACTTGGTAATGCCCATATGATACTGTAATGCAGTTTTCATTAATTAGCTACTTCATTAGAACCTTGAAAGAGTCAACTATATGTGTAATTTTGCTTGAATTTTGCTTGGATTATTTTGGTAATACGACTACGGTCACACCGACCGTAAAAGGTAAACAAAAAAAACGGCCGCCATTCGCGGCGTATTATTATGAATTTCTGAATTCCTCGTCGAAGTATTATTGCATAAATAAATGCAGAATCCTTTAAATTTATGTTTTTACCCCTATTATGCTTAAAATTTTTTTAATTATTACAAAAAAAATAATTTTAATTAATTTTACAGCGCAAGAACCTTGCTACCGCACAACATATTATTTTTGCTAATTTTCTAATATATTTTCAGTTCAAAAAACAAGCGAAATGATATAAAAATAAAATTCTCATTGTGAGACCATACTGTCAATGAACTGGCTAATACATTTTTCAATTACAATTTTCTTCATTAAACCCGTATTTTGTTATCGAGTATCTAGTATATAATATGTAGATCTATCGATTATCGCGGCAATGAAGTAGCTAATGCATTATTCTAATGCATTAGAGCGCACTATAGTCATCTTCCTCGCACTTGTGTAAAACGTTTTAGCGCTGTCAAATCTTTAATGAAGTCTCTAATTAATGCGGCAGTGTCATGCCAGTATAAATACATTTCATCTTATACTCTGTTTCCACATACCTCATCGGTGTAAATAAATGGAGGTTTTTGACGTCTGCCATCCGAAAAATTTTTTGGAATCAAAATAAAAAATTCCATAACATTTTGAATGGGAATTTCGTTAAGGGTATCGGGAGGGTAAAACATCATTTCAAAGCAGTGAGAGAGAGCGAGAGGCAAATAGTTTCAAACAGCTGCTCGCTCCGTTCAAAAGGAGACGCAAAACAGCTGATATCGGGGTGTAACAATAATTCATTTGATTTATTCTTACACCCCTATTGGAGAGAAAGTTGAAGGGAATAAGTGGGGTTGATAGGGGCTGTCAAGGCGAAGCCCATAGTATGGAATTTAACCCACAAAGGACTTTTTAATGTCATATTTATTAATATTTTCAATATTTTGTTTGAATATTTGTTTACAAACAGCTGTCCAGTGTGACCAATGAAAAGCCTTAAACGCCATAAAAGAAACATTTTCATGGCGTTTCATGGATTTTCCTTAATTTTTTGGTCACACTGGTTACGGAGCCAAATAAACAGAGATTCCGCTGTATTAATTTATACAGCGGATTTTCGTCGTCAGAGTGTCAGGCCTAAAAGACAAAAAAAAGATGACCGAAGCCTTTGGTGGCTTCCGTTGCCCCCCTTGGTAGCGTTTCGTTCCCTACGAGGCTGCACCGTGGCATCGGAACAGATTATTGTGCCAGAAGTCTTCCTTCGGTGTCCAATAAATAATAACGTCAACCAATAAGATGGTTGAAAAAAATTGGTGCCAACAAAAAAAAGGCTCTAAGGCCGGAACTTGGCCTCCTAACTGTTCCTGCTTTGTCCCTGACCACTCACCTTTCGGGTTCGCCGATCCGGCTTCCCAGGTCCTAACTTCCAGGTTTTTTAATATTTACTTCACTTTCACTTGACTTTTTTTCACCCCCTTATATTATATTTTTTATATTTACTTTGCATGCGTTTTTATATATTTATCGTAGTTATTATTTAGTTACATTATATTATATTTTTTATATTTATTTTGCATGCGTTTTTACTTAATTATTACTATTTTTATTATATTATATTTTTTTTCCCCTTATTAAATATTATTTTTGTTCTCTTGTAACGTTTCCTCGTTCTTTTCTTCCTTCATTCACCGCGTCTATCTAGTTCGCGATTCGTGCCGTACGTCACACGGCTGCGCCCCTCGGTCGGTTGGGCGGGAGGTGGAAGCGGGACCCCGAAAGAAAAAAAAAAAAATAGAGTCTTCCCACACACCGACGAAGCGCATTCACCGTCCGTTGAACTAACTGCCCATAATGTTTTGCCGTTCCGAATTTTCTCAAATGGACCGCGGTTAGAACGCATTAAAATCTAACCACGGTTTGTTTGGCGATACTTATAGGGTCTTCCCACACAACGTCAATGCACATTCACCGTCCGTTGAACAAACGGTCCATAAGGTTTTGCCGTTCCGAATTTTCCCAAATGGATCGCCGTTAGAACACATTAAAATTTAATACTGTCTTCCCACACAGCGCATCTGTGAGGAACGTTTGGGATTTTTCGCAGATGCGAAACTCGTGTTCCCACAGAGCTGCATCAAAGTGCATCTGCATCCGAACAGCTGATCGATCAGCTGTGGTTCATGAAAACGTAAACAAAGGCTGTCGAATTGGCAGTTGCAAATTTGAAATGGAGCATTTACCAACTATTTTGGCTGTTGTACAACAGCAAAAGGCACAGATTGCGTCAGAATTTATCCGCAATAAATTTAAATGAATTAAATGACAAGGAATTTTAGTTTTTCTAATGATTTTTCTCTAACAAAGAGCAAATTCCCCGAAGAGTGTCTATAGGTGGTATAGGCATCCAAAATAAGGTAGAGGTAGGCGGTTTATATTAAATAGTAACAATTGGGGACATATTGGGGCAAGAATATACAGAAAAAACGCCAACATCTATTTTGGGCATGCTTGTAGCTTTGGCGCCACGTTTTAAATTCCATATCTCATTTGTTTCTCGCCAAGTGTGTATACACTTTCGTAGTGATGGTCAAATTTTCAGAGTTGCACCGAAAAACTATCGCCTAAATATCGCCAAACAAACGGTCGTTACATTTAGATGCGCTTTGATGCAGGGCCAATTGAGAAAATTCGGAACGGCAAAACCTTATGGACCGTTTGTTCAACGGATGCCAGATGCGCTTTGACGGTGTGTGGGAAGACCCTATAACCACGGTTTGTTTGGCGATAGTTAGGCTATAGTTTTTCGGTGCAACTCTGATTCTTCTTCTTAATTTGATCATTCACCACGAAAATGTAAACAAACTTCGCGAGGAACAAATGAAAAATGGAAGGCGCCAAAGCAACAGGTTGTATATCAACAGGTTGTTTACATTTTAATATTAGTAATTGTTTTTAATTTTGCAGATACTAGAACCGCCGTTGGGAAGCTCAGGTGAACCCAGTATATGGAGTGCCTGCTCATCGACGTATGGCAGGAGAACATAGAGCAGTTGCGAGGATCTCGCAAGAACTGCCATGTATACATGGAGATGGCCCAGACCTTGATGGAGGCTGGGCATGATGTATCATGAAAGGACGTCAAGACGAAGCTGGAGAACATGACGAAGAAGTACAAGTAAGTATGAGTACCAGAACACATTACATTAATTGTGTTATTCCTCGAAATTTTTCTTATTTGCAGGCAGGAAAAAAACAAAATGGGGGCAAGCGGTGGGGCCCCATCTGGGTGGCAGCATTTTGAGACGCTGCACGCGTTTCTCGGGTCGTTCCGTGTCCACAATATGGAGCAGGATACGAAAGTATGCTCCCTCCCAGATAGTTTTTGTGTACACTCAATAATTAACATGTTTTTATTGCAGATACGACAGAGTATTTTTCAGAGGACGTTCTGGAGGACCCGGAGGAATCAAATCTGAGCGGAAGTCGACGTTACGGCAGTTTGCCTCCAGCCAAAAGAGCAAGAGTAGACAAAAAAAAGAGCTGGTTGAAATTGCTCGAGGGAGGCTGGAGGAGCAGAAAGCGAAGACTGAAATTCTGCAAAGAAAGTTCCAGTCGGAACTTCTTCAATTTCTGAGGGAGTCCAAGAACTGAAAACCTTTAAATAGAAAAATTAATTAAAAAACTAAAAAAATAATAATAAATAATAAAACCCTTATTTATTTAAAAATTTGTGTTTCCATTAAGACAATATTGAGCAATTGCTGCTCTAATTTTTTCAGTAGGCTGGCTAAAATCTGCACACATGTTGGTTCGATTGGGTTGTTCACGAAGGTCACGGGCAGCCAGTTGCCAATTATCATTAATAGCGCTGTTGTGCTCATTTAAAATGTTATGCAAAATACAACAGGTTAGAACAATTGCATTATTGTTTTTGTAGTGGCTGTCAAGTCCCTTTCCAACAAATCGAAACCTGGCCTTTAAATGCCGTAAAGCTTTTTCTACAACTCGCCTAGCTTTTGACAAATTGTAGTTAAATGTGCGCTCCTCTACGCTCGCGGTCGTCGAAAATGGGTATGGTTTCATCAACGTTTGGGAAAATCGGAAAGCCGAGTCTAAGCAGCAGCGAAACTTGTACGCCACAGATTTCCTTTGATTTTTCCCAAATTAAAGTAGACGACCCCAATTTCCTTGCAAGGCTAGACTTTTGAAAAATAGTCGAGTCGTTGCAAAGCCCTGCAGAGCCGATGTTTACATAGGTAAATTTGTACCTATAGTTAATATACTATTTAATACAATTAGCAGATTATAAAAGATCTAAAGAGCAGGTAACTTGCCTGTAATCCACAAGAGCGAATAGTACGATTGAGTACCAACATTTGTAGTTGTGATGATCGACTGCATCTGCTGCCGATGGTTTTATTTCGAAATGACAACCATCTAGAATATATATATATATATTTTATATATGTACGTGATTAATGAATTGATTTATTACCAATTGCTCCTAGACATTGGGGAAATCCAATTTGTTCAAAGCCCCTGACACACTCCTCAACTTTTTCGAGAGTTAAATAGTCAGGGGACATGAATTCACCGGCAAACTCGGTAATGACAGCCCGGCAAAATTCATGGAGTATTTTGCACCCAGAGTTTTGTGTGCCACATCGAATAGCCTTCCAATGGAACGATACTCCGAGGATGATCCCAAGGTGTACAAGGCGATAGCAATCCTCTTCTCCAAAGAAATTGCAGTTCGCCAGTTAGTATCCTTCTTTCGGAGAACTTCTGGGCGATTCACCAAAAAGGAAAAGGTACGCTTCTCCATCCGAAAGCTCTCTTTAAAGAACTCATCGTTGTTTTCCGGTATATCCTTCTCCCAAAATGTTCCGAATCGCTTCTATTTAATATATCATATTTAATAAAATTTTGGTAGCACCTACCACCATCCACACTCTTCGTGGCATTTGCTCTTTGGTAAAGTAAAGTTCAAGGAGAGCTTCCAAGTCGTTGTCGTAATTTACATTTAGCGACACTTTTTTTTTTTTTTTTTTTTTTTTTGTTTTGGCTTCGTGTAAGCTGTCAAAGGCATTGGACGTGTTTTCGGCTATTAAAAAAGAAAAAGGGAAAATTACAAAAAATAAATAAATTTCTCATGTTTTCGTGAAGTGCAAACGCATTTTTGCTTCGCTGCGAACTTCATTGTGAAGAATCTATGGACAAGTCCACCTCTGTGGCAAAAGCTATTTCTTTTCCAAATCCGACCTCTAAGGTCGTGGTGTCAGTGCCCTTACTTTCCGTTGTTTGTTCCAATCGCGAAAACCAAGTGAAACCAAAAGACAGTCGCATTTATTCTGGGTGCCGCCCGATTGCGGGGCTTGCGTCTTATCCACTTGGCTACGCTCTTCTTTTTGGAGGTCGGATAAAGGACCTATTTATACAACAAGTCAGTAAAGCAGTGCATAATGTCTAATCTTTCGGACACTGAAGAAGATCTAAACATCAGCGAGATCGTGGCTCGGCAGCAACGACAAATGAGTGAGGCACTTAATTGCTCATTAGCCGAATTCAGCCGGCGACTTGCCGCCTCCTCCTCCGTCAACACCGCACCAATATCAAACATTGATGTAGCAGTCATAAATGGCGACGATGAAGACTGGTGGACCCCTAGATCGGCGAACAACAAACGCCGTCTCGTCTCCGGATCACCGAGCTCAGCCACCAAAATTCTGAAAAATTCCAATGCCCTAATACTTCTACCAACCAATTCGATGAACTGTCAGACATGGACACAGACATCGAAGGTCCTCAAGCAGTTAGCCCCGAAGACCCAGCAATAGCTAGTACTTCAACCGGCTTAAGGCAGGTTAACACCAACAGTAACAATACTATTAACAACGGCAGTAGTCTTACCAGCAGCTCTACCAACAATGCCGGAAGCAACAACAACAATCTCAGCCGGCCTGGAAGTCAGGAACATTTATCCACCCACAAACCACCTCCGATTGTGGTTGATAACTGTGAGAATCTGAACGGACTTATCAGATCCACAGACAAAATCGTTGACCCGACCAAATACTCCCTAAAATGTCATTCCAACAACTCTGTTTCCATCTTAGCTGCTGATTCTGATACATATGGAGCTATAACAAAGTCCCTGACTCTTAAAAAAGTTCCTTTCCATTCTTGGCAGTTGAAAGAAGAAAGGTCTTATCGAGGTGTCATCCGTGGTGTCCATCATTCTGTCCCGGATGAAAACATAAGGGAAAGCCTTACATCGGCTGGTCACACGGTTCGATTTGTTAACAGGCCCAGAAGCCGCTTCGACAAAACCAAGTTCGTTAACTTAGTTTTTGTTGAACTGGAACCTGCGACAAATAACAAAGAAATCCATGATATTAAAACGCTTTGTAGGCAACGGGTTCAAGTTGAACTCCCTTACAAAAAGGATGATGTTCAATGCCACCGGTGTCAAGCTTTTGGACATACAAAAAATCATTGCCAAAAGCTTTTCAACTGCGTCAGATGCGGCCTGCAACACGGTGTGGAGGCCTGCTTAAAGGATCTTCACCCAGTGAAGTGTGTTAACTGTGGCGGAGACCATACAGCTAGCTATAAAGGCTGCCTAGTTTATCAGCAAGTTGCCAATCGACGGAAAAGTGTCACAACTCATCGCAGCACCGTTCCCCAACAGCCAGCTCATCCAATAGTTCGGTCTAACCTTGTTACTTCAAGCTCCTACGCTAACGCAGTTCGAGGGCAAGTTAGTCGCCCCCAGCACCATGCTCCTATGAATGTCCTGCATAGTCAACAATTTCCCCCATTGGGCAGCAACAATACTAAGAAAAGTCAGCTACGCCACCAAAAGGAACCCCCTCGACAGCAACACCAGCAGCAGCAGCGCCAGCAGCAGCAGCAGCAGCAGCAGCAGCAGCAGCACCACCAGCAGCCGCAGCAGCAACAGCAGCAGCACCAACAGCAGCAACAGCAGCAGCACCAACAGCAGCAACAGCACCAGCCGCAGCATTCACAACAACAACAACAGCAGCAGTCTTTCCCTCAACAACAGCGACGCAGCTCGCAGCAATCTTTCAACGACCATCAGTGGCAGCGCCAAGAGCAAATGTTCTTGCAATCGAACGAAAGAATTTCGGTCCTTGTCGCCCAGTTTGACAAATTATTCCAAATGATGGTGTCGATGATGGGTCTTGTCTCTAGACTCCTACCACAAACTTCTCCAGGAACTGCACAAGCAGTTGCTGGATTTTTCCCAGCTAATATAGTCCAACAATGAGTCAAATTGGACTCAAAATTGGTGTGTGGAACGCCGACGGGCTGGCCAACAAAGCACAGGAGCTAGAGCTTTTTGTTCATATACATCACATAGATATTATGTTGGTCAGCGAAACACACTTCTGCTCTCGATCATATTACAAACTACACGGATATGACGTTCACATCCCGCCGATCGCCACCGTGGGGGCTCTGCAGTCATCATAAAGTCCTGTCTCAAACACTACCAATTTTTAACAATGGAACATCAAAGTGCTCAATGTGTCGCAGTCAAAGTCAATACGGATCAAGGTGATATTGCTATTGCCTCTATTTATTGTCCTCCAAACTTCCAGCGCACCTATGAGGACTTTAGAACACTGTTTGAGGAACTAGGACCCAAATTTCTAATTGCCGGTGATTGGAATGCACACCATCGACTGTGGGGTTGTCGAAATTCCTCTGTTAGTGGAAGAGTATTAGCAAACTATATCCTCAGCTCTCACATTCAAGTCCTTGCAACCGGAGGTCCTACCCACTACCCGTACAGCCAGCGTACGCCTACTGCAATTGATTTTGCCATATATGGGGGGATTCGCTCTGAGCTCCTATTCATCTCAGGGAGCTTGGAACTTTGTTCTGATCACATCCCCTTATTAATTGAGCAAAGAAGTGCAGCTTTCAAGGTCTCCCAAAAAACACATATTCTCCCTCGAAACGCGAACATTCCACGGTTTCAGGCAGCAATTAACCAGCTAGTAAACCTCAACATGGTCCTGAGCTCCCCTGAAGACATTGATGATGCCACTGAGATATTTTTGCGTAACATTCACATTGCTGCCGAATCTTCAACCTGTGAACAAGGTTCAATAAACCCATCAGATCCACCTCATGCTCTTTTAAAACCTGAGGTCCTGGATTTGGTGAGGTCGAAAAGAGCCTTGCGTCGCAGATTCATGCGGTCGCAAAATCCGGCCGACAAAAGAGCATATCGTCGCGCTGAGAACGATCTAAAGAAGTTGCTGCATAAGACAAAAAATGACTATTTCTCAGATCTACTACGCAATGCAGACCCCACAAAACCGTATGGATTTAACCTCTGGAAAGCAGCAAAGTCAGTTAAACGGCAGCCCCCACGCAGAATCCCTATAAAGCGTGCTGACAATACTTGGTGCAGATCGGATGCAGATATTTCTCTGGCTTTTGCTGACGAACTAGAAGGTCGATTTCAGCCGTTTGACCTTGCTAGGAGTGAGGACGTGGAAGCAACACTGGCTTTTCTTAATACTTCTTGCCCAGATGTAGAGCCCATTCGTCATGTAAGTCCGGAAGAAGTTTGTCTCCAAATTAAAAAACTGCACGTTAGTAAAGCACCAGGATTTGACGGAATCGATAATAGAGTTGCCAAAGCTCTGCCCAAAAAGGGCATATTATTCCTTGTGCTCCTGTTCAACTCCATGTTACGTATCTACCACTTCCCCACACAATGGAAGTGCGCAGTGATATCGATGATACCTAAGCCAGGCAAACCGGAGAACCTTGTTGCTTCTTACCGGCCAATAAGCTTGCTGCCAACATTCTCTAAAATATTCGAGAGAATATTTCTTAGCAGAATGATGGCAGTAAGAAGTGTTCAGGATGCCATTCCAGATCACCAGTTTGGCTTCCGAAATCACCATGGAACGCCAGAACAGGCTCATCGAGTAACGCAGCATATCTTAGATGCTTTTGAAAACGGTCAGTACAGCTCTGCTATCTTCCTTGACGTAAAGGAAGCCTTCGATAGAGTGTGGCACAATGGATTGCTTTTTAAGCTAAAAACACTTCCGCCAGCTGCTCAATATCTCCTTCTGAAATCGTACCTACTAGAGCGAAAATTTATGGTTGATGTGAGAGGTGAAAGATCATCCATTAGAAGCAGTCGAGCTGGAGTACCGCAAGGGAGTGTTTTGGGTCCTGTGTTATACACCCTTTACACCTCTGACTTGCCCAATCCCAGAGAACCGGGGACACTTCTTGCAACGTATGCTGATGACACAGCCTTTATCGCAAACTCAGCGTGTCGAATTGAGGCTTCTAGAAAAACGCAAAGCTTTTTGGATACCTATAGCGAGTGGACGAAGAGGTGGAACATATCCATAAATGGAAATAAATCGCAACACTGCAATTTTTCCCTGAGACACAAAATCCTCCCTAGGGTCAAATTTCAGGACACGCTAATTCCTCAATCTCCTCAGGCCCAATACCTGGGATTGATCCTGGATAAGCGGTTCACGTGGAGGCAACACACCACCAAAGTAGCAGCAGCATGCCGTGGAAAACTCACCCACTAGCAAGCTGAGCCTCAGCAACAAAGTGCTGTTATACAAAGCAATAGTTGTTCCTGCTATGACCTATTGCATCCAGATTTGGGGTACTGCGTCCGACTCTAACGTAATGAAAGTGCAAAGGGTCCAAAACCGGGCGCTGCGCACAATCACAAATGCACCCTGGTTTGCTAGAAATGCAGACATCGCTAACGACCTCCAAATGCCAACAGTGAGGGAGCAGATCAACAGGCACTCAAGTCGATACAATGAACAATTCTGGCCCACACCAACCACCTAGCGGCATCATTGGCCATCCCCATGTCCAGACGAAGACTGAAGAGACGACATCCAGGTGATCTTTGGTTAAGAGGGAGGCAAAGAACCCGAGTCCTACACCAATAACTGAAATGCCTTTGTAAATTATAAATTGTTGTTTATCGTTTACTGTTATGTTTCCATGTTATGTTTGTTATTAGTGTTAGTCCCTACGTTTTATAATCATTAATTTGGTTGATTAACGTATAAATAAATATAAACTTATAAAAAAAAAAAAAAAAAAAAAAAGCGACACTTTTTGTTATTTTCTTAGTAACTTAAAAACGCGGAGCCGTTGTTTTCTCTGAGGCAGCGGATATCGTCAAAATCTGAAGTGCATCGGTTGGCGATAGTTAGGCGATGGTTTTTCGTTGCAACTTTGATTTCTTCAGAGCTACAAGGATGCTCAATAAACTCGTTGGTGTTTTCCTGAAAAATCTCGCCCCAAAATGTCAAAAACTATGTATTGAATACAAAAGGTCTTCTTCTTCTTTTTTGTTTAGCCTTTGGGAGTGCACACTCTACGGAGCATTTGCTGTTGGTTTTACTGTCTTCCCACTCAGTACATCTGAGTGAAACAGTTGGGATTTATCGCAGATGTGAAATGAGCGAACCGGGAATTTCAAGCTAAGAGAAAGAGATTTTACCATTTGGCTCGGCCGTCGCGCTGAGTGCAAAACAACGGTTAGCCGAAGTTGGAACTCGGGCAACGGACCGAGCCTATATAGTCAGGCAGAAGGCAGAAAAAGGAAAAAGATTAGCAGGAAGTCAGGCGGTTAGCAGCAGTAACAATAGCTGTGGAAAAAAATTAAACGTGAGAAAAGTGTAGAGAAACTTAAACCCAAATGTTTTAAAAAAAGGAGGTTTCCTTCCAGCGTGGCCGTTACAGGCTGCACGGGCCACGGGATTTTTTGTTTTTGTGTGGTGCACTGCACCAGGTGTAGTGTCTCCAAGCCGCCATCAGGCCTAGCCGGAAGCCACCTGCACGTCACCAGCCGTCAACGGACCGAAAGCCTATCTGGAGGACTACGGAGACCGGTCAGTCCGTCCCGGTAAGCCGCCGCGTTATAAAACCGGTCGGCCTTAACCTTAGAGGCAGTGGGTATTTCATTACCAGTCGCCGCCGCCTGGTGGGCACAAAGGCCTTAATTTTTCCTCCAACTTCTTGCGATTTTCAGTGGCAGCCTTGGCGCGAGCACATCCCTGGCTAGGGTCACGGTCTCGTTGGGGA